CACTCTTTAAAGTCATTTCATGGTCTTCCCACTCAGGTCTTAGCCCTTCCCATCATAACAAAAACATTTGACTGGGCTGAATCCAAATGCCCTGGCAGATCCTCTTGAGTAATTAATATCCCATTTTTCAGGCAGAGGATACCTAAAAGTGAAATGCTGCAAGAGATATCCCTGTCCATTACTCCTTCAAATTCAATATTTGGCTAATACCAGATTTTCTGCTGTGTGTGTCACTAGTCTGCAGCAGTGAACCTCAAGGTTTGTCACAGCCCACCACAAAGTGGCAAGGCTCATGTCAAGCACTCCTTTCCTGTGCACTCACACCAGCATGTGACCACTCTTCTCTCAGGAAAACCTGAATGGAATACCAGATGGAAATCCAGGGCTCTTCCATAATCATCTTGCTTCTAGTGCAATTACTCACCCTGATGCACCAGCAAGAGCTGGTTGGGATGTTTAATCTTACATCCCTCACTACATTAATGTTTTGCCTTTAGGCATCTGTGGTGGAAAACAGCCAGCAGCACCCACTTTTCCCCAGGCACCAGGCAGAACATGCACAGTGCTCAAAATTGCATGTAAAGATATTCACAGCCACACTTCCTCAAAAGGCACAGGTGATGTGCAGCCACAGCTGGTAATGAAGTAACACCAGTTACTCACACATGGATGGATTTGAGCATCTAGGGGGTGAGGAATAGCAATAAAATAACTCCCAGGGCTCACCTCTTACACATTTTGTTGGATATGGGCAGGGATGGTGGGCTTGTTCTACCCAAAACAACAGCTTTCCTCCTCAGAAATTCCTTGTCCAATATGGACTGATTCAGCCAGAGAATTGCCAATGGAGATTCACTACAGTAAAGAAGGATATCAGGGGATATCCTCGGGCTAAAATCTTTGGTAAAGGGGCAGGCAGTAAAGACAATTCAATGATGTAATTTACACTCCAGTGAGTGAAATACAAACCATGAGAGTCTTCCCACAGCTCAGACATGCACCCAACAGGAGCATTCCTGCGATGATACTGGCATGTTGGCCTTAAGCAGACAGCTGATAGCCCCTGTTCTATCAGAGGGGCTCTGTCTCGCTTTTACTGTCTGTTCTGGTGGCAGACTTCATACATAAAAACCACAGCAATGGACCAGGGCTCCTGTGGCATTTGGCATTTGTGCAGCCAGGGAGCAGAGGGAAGGTCCACGCTCTAATCTTTGCTGCAGCTCAAGCACACACATCAGCAGGCATCCTCTTCACCTGCCAAGTGAGGTGACAGTGCATTTCTTAGAAGCCACAGTCCTGCCCCAGCTGTCACAACACCTGCAGCACCCTTCCTGGAGTGAGAGAATGAGTGTGAGTAATGAAATAGAGAAGGAAGAAAAACACCTTGGACATCTTCCTGGTGTTTCTCCCAAGAGCACTGAAAGAAGACACAGAATATTTGGATTGTCCCCGTGCTCACTGCAAGGTTTGCCCTGGTGCATTAGCAGCCTTTGGACATTGCTGTCACATGACACAGCTGAAATAATGAATACTAAACCTGGGAAAATGCAGTATTCAAAGCTTTGAAAAATGTTTATGTCACACATCAGGAACTCACCTCTAGGCACTGAGAATTTCAAACACACTACTTCTGGAACAGGTCAGCCCCAAAAGTCTCCTGGGAAGTTTGTTTCTTCCCTAAAAGCAGCAAGGGTTGGACTCCCCTCTAAGCTGCATATGAAATGTTGTAGCCTAGGAGATCTCTGGTGCTTATCAGCATTCTCATCCTCTGAGAGCACCACATTCCCTTCAGAAAAACTGCAAAGGTTGAACTTGGCTCCACACTGAGCAAATGTCCCCAAAGTTCAGAACTCTTCCAAGCCAGCTTATTTCCTCTAGAACATCTTTAATGAAGTACATATTTATATTGTCCTTGAAGTAGAAATACTGAATCTGATTTTATCTCTTATTTTTTATTTTAGTAGGAGATTTGGTTTTGCTTCCACAAGTGTGTCTTTGACCTGTAATAAAATCTGTACTGAAGTAATGGCTAATTCTGAACAAGTAAGTAACAATTCCAGTAAATCCAAGGAAGGGTACATCCCTCTGACCTTCCTGTGCCCTTTTCAGTAACAAACATGTACTTTGAGCAAAAGAACAAATTTTCTTGTGCTGTGGTTCTGCAGGGCTATAGCAGAGTGCTGCCTATACCCACATAATTAGAAGGAAGGTTAATGAATTGCTGAAGCACATGTTTCCAGTGGATAATTCAGATAGAAAGCATGTTTAGGTGGCCTAGCAGTTTATTAAATGAGATTGTAATGGACACTATGCTCTTTGCAAGTGTCATTTCAAGATAAATTGATGTAACACTTTACCTCTGGAAAGTGCATTAGTAAAAGACGGGCTATAATCTCTACTGATGCAAACCAGTGTCAGCTGTCATTTCTTTGGTATTAATGTTTTTCCCTTTTTTCTTTTCTATCCCTTGATATTTTATATCTTCTCTTTGCTTTTTTAGCAAAAAATAGCATTCATCTTCAGCCATGAGCTCAGATAGACAATTTCTAACACTTACTGCTCTATTGGAGATTTCCTTCTTCTGCTCAGCTTCACCACAGTGTTTGCAGAGAGTATCTTAATAGTAGGGGAAAAAAAAATCTCCTCTCATTCTTCTTCTCTCTAGAATTATTTTCAACTATAGTAAAAAAAATAGAAAATTGATTATATGAACAGCACCATTTGCTGTTCTCATGCAAGAGGAAGAAATGTTGTGTCTCAGGAGAACCTGCCTTTGACTAAAGAATCTGCATATTTTTGTACTCCTGGATAATTCTTCTAAGAAAATTAGGCAACATCTTGAAGGTTGAACATTAAGTTGATACAAATTTCAATAAGTGAGTTGGAAGTCTCTCAAAAAATACAAGATTAATAATGGTAGAGAGAGACAAAGACCACAAAATTTGCGGTAGAGCAGCCATTACAGTGTCATAGGTCTCCAGCATTAATTTTCATACAAAGTGAGTAATATACTTTTAGTCAGGCCCAACAGCTACAAAAACCTGAGTCATTCCTTCGCACAGGAGGAACGAATTTTGTTAGGGGTCAAATTGTGCTGAGGTTCCTCAATAGAAAAGCATAATTAATAAATAAGTACAAGTCCTGGTTGGGTGATGGTCCTGACAGCACAGAAAAAACAAATCAAGAGCCAGTATTATCCCTGGACTTGCCAGGAAATCTTTATTGCTGAGCTGCAGCTCATGTGTTCAGAAACCCATACCAGTTTGGTTCAAAGGCTGGTAGAAAAATCATTTCAAGCTCCTCAGATTGAATGTGTTTCAGTTATTTCTTCCTATATCCTTAATTTAAGCATCTAAAGAAATTTCTTTTAGTAGTTTCACAAAGAATGACTGGCCAAATGAAGATTTTTTAAAAGAAAATCAGATTTGATTTTCTTTCAGAAAAACACATTAAAAGAAGCTAGAGCAAATCCCCTGCCAGGGAAGTGCAGACTTTTTTGTACCTAACCACTCTGTTAAAATCACTAATTAATGGGGAAAATGTATTTCAGAGGCACTGTGATCTGTAGGTCCAGATTAATTAGGATAAACTTTAATTATTCAGTGGTAATACATGCCACCTTTGAAACCATAATCATCAAAAGTGGGTGCTTGCAAGCTCAGCAACTACCCCCAACACATTTCTTTCTTCTTGTACTAAGGCAGCAAGTAAATGTAGTGCAATTCCAGTTTTCTCTGCAAGGCCTAAAGCCACCTCAGTTAGGCAGACTGGTTCCCAGAAGCACACACTGAAGAGGAGAGAGGACTTTGCAGAATACTTCTCCCCCACGTTAGAAGAGATGACTCAGACCTCTTGAAAACACTTTTGTCTCTCCTAATTTTCATATTGATTGGGGTGAAAATAAGAGGGAAAATATTTGCTCCAAGCTTCTTCTCTCAATTGCTCTTCCAATGTTTTGTTTTCCTCATTATTTTCAAACCCCATTTTTGTACTTTCTCCAAGCACCCTCAGCACCCTCACCCAGCATATTTTCAGGGCCAGCAGAGTTCCTCCTTCGTCCCCTCTGATCAACTTTGCCAGCATGCCTGGAGCAGCTTCCCTTTTTGTGCCTTTCTCTTTTGGGATTAGCTTCTCTTCATGTTGGCAGGACTTCCTAGCACAGAAGCATTATCACCACCTGTGCCATTAATCAAGGCTCTGCCACAGGTAGGAGCAGTCAGGAAAACAAGGGTATTTTATTAGCAAATTTCAGATAAAAGCTGGACATCAGTCAGTTGGATAACTACAATTCCTTCTGGCATCCAAATTACAGAGTAAAACAGCATCATTTTCAAGTCTGTGTCCAGCAGCACTGTGGGAAGTGCATAATGATGGAACATGAACCTGGAAGTGGTCATTTTCTTTATGTGGCTCAGCCTGTACCACCACATAAATCACCAGTTTCTCCCCTAAATCTTACCGTTTTCTTGCTTCACTTTCTTGGCAGGTACAGCAGTTCCCTCTGAATTTTCTAGTCATTTTATCTTCAGCTCTGAGTCAGTAGGTGCTGGAGCTGGGGATGGTGGAGGCATCCATCACTGGAAACCCCACTGGAAACATTTTTCCCTCAGCCTAATTCCATGCTTGATCTCAAACATGCCATGGAGCAGAGTCATTATCAAAGTCATGCCAGTGAGATGTGTTGTCGTAAATTGAGACCCCCACATAGGAACTTTGTAATTAAGGAATAAACAGAGGCAATGAGTCATTACATTTGGTGCTGTGGGAGTTTTAGGAAAGCATGTTTTCCGTAGCTCACGGAAATGAGACGCGACCTTTCCACAAGATTTTTTCTTTTATGGTTAGCAGTCATAGGAGCAGGACACAGATTTTTCCAGTTACTGGCATTTAGGTATCTCATACACAGATGCTGACAACTGGACCTCCTCAGTCCTTCTCCAGATGCTGACACTTGCACCTCACAGTTCTCACAAACAGCCCAGGAAGATTACAAAGAGAGAATGGTTTGAGGAAAGGATTTAATACAAAGATAGGACAGGAATGCTGGGCAGGCACAGGGTTCAGTACGTTGAGCCATTTTTATCCCTCTTTCTCATTGCCTCATGCTTCTCACCCATTTACCCTGATCCCTTCCCTTCCCCTAAACTTCCTGTAATAAATTTTACATAATCCCACAAACCTCTTCTGAAATCCCATAAGCTTCTCATAAACCCAAAATCCCCCTCAAATTCTGAACACACTTGCAATAGTCATGTTTTCTCTCTCCATCAGTGACAAAGCCAAGGCTGATGCCTTCAAGGCTGTGCCTGAGTAGGTTTGTAGGTTTTTGACTGGTCCATTTATCAACAACTAAAGCTTTTTTTATTAACTGGATTGTGTTGGCTTGAGTTCCAATTGTCTCTGTCTCACCAAAGGAGGAAATATAATTTCTAGGTATAAAGCTTTTGATACAGGTAGTTAAAAGTTGTTATGTACACATCAGAACAAATGTGAAAGACTTGAAAATACACAACAAACACCTTGAATACAAGCATCATAGCTGTAGCGTAACAGGAAAAGATATCTTTTTGTACCTCAGTTTCCCATCTCTCAATAACAGGCTGAGAGTCTTTCCTTCCCCATAGATTATGATGTATTTGGGACAGAAACTGCTCTTGCTCTGTATAATCACAGCATTTCTTGTCTCATCCTCGTGGAGACCCAAGTAGTAATCAAATAGTGTGTTATTTTCTCTGTTCTTCAAATAACTTTTGTTTCAGCAAAGAAATAGCTATTAGACAATAAACTCATCACGCTAACAGAAAACTGAGTTAGAGGTCTGAAATCAATATTACCAGGAATATTTCTGAACAAAGTCAGAAATACCAGAAATACCATATCACCCGTAAAGTCTCGAGCCATCCCACCAGAATAAAGTTATTAAAAAAACAAAACAAAACAACAAAACACAAGGATAGAGGAAACTTTATCTGCTGCAATAGCAACCACAGTGGCAGTCAAGATCCACAAAACAATTGTGTAATCTTCTCAAGCTTAGGGAAATATCTGTGCTACTCTTTGCTCGGGGAACTTTGGAGGACAGATGCCACTTCTTGGGCTGTTTAGTCTGGAGCCAGGGACTCTTCCCAGCCCCTCAAGCAATAATTTTTAAAAAAGAGAGACCATTTTGCAAATGTAAGCTGTCATGAATCCGTAATCAAACTTTTGACCTTTACAGCTGTATGTTACTTTTACTAAAGTTTCCATTTCCTGATGCTCCTGCAGTGTGTCCAGAAACATGAGCCACAAGGAACACCAGATCCTCCAAAGATACATGCCCTGTCTGAAATAACAGGTTCACTGTCAGCATAAGATCTCAGAGCTCACACCAGCAACTCCTCTTTTTTGCTGTGCTCAGAATGGGTACAGAGACCAGAGCTATTGTGCCCCTGGGATTTCTGATTATTTGAAAGTGCCATATTACCCACAATGGTGTGAAGAAGAGATCTCACCTGTTCAAGGGCCTGTCCCAGGGAAAGCAAAAAAAAACCAAAAACAAACAACTGAAATCATTAAATAAAATGGTTCATAAAAGTCAGCAAAAAATTAAACACAGGGGGGCTTATCCAGTCAGAGGGAGAGCTACTGGTGTGACCTAGGGGAATATGTACCACCATTTGTGCAAGAAGAACTTGAGAACTGGAACCCAGCAGAACACAACTGGCATGTTTAAATTTGACCTGATTGGGGAAAGGAAAAAAAAATCATATTCTTTTCCTTAAGGGCAGGGAGACAATAAGAAGAGGCATCTGACTGCTTCTGTCCAAACTACATCCTTCATTATTTTCTATCACCTCTTCTATTTTACCATCTTGTTTTTATGTGAAAGGCAGCAAAACTACACTTCAGAAGCATCACGTGTTGCTACAATGCCTCATTTCATCTTGAGCAAAATGTTTTTAAGAGGTCCTTCATCTTGATTGTGGATTAAAGTACAAACTGAAAGTAATTCCCATTCTGCCAAAATAACCTCCTTGTTGTTCTTCACATTTTCAGGATTGTTCTAAAGCTATAAAAGCCATATTTCCTAAACCTAACAACCACATGACATTTAACAGCATCATAATGATCATCTGGATCACAGTGCTATCCAAAGATGTGAATTGAATAGTGGAATGTATCAACATTTCCAGGGTTTCATTATCCTCCTAGGTCAATTATGGAAGTATCACACATGAGTTACAGCATCAGAAAAATTCCAAATGTGCCATATCTACTGCTTTCTCTGCAGGCCATTCAAACAAAAAAACAGTCTTGAGGAATTTTCAAAATCTTTTTTGTTTGTTTTTTTCTTACCGATAAAGATCAACCATTAGAGGTTTACTTGCTTTTTTTCCCAGTTCCAAGGTATGGGTTAAAAGAGTGCAGGTCCCTAGGTTCTCTTTAGTCTGATTTTAGAAAAACATTTTTCTTCTGCAAGTCCTCTGAGACCTTGTCCAATTCCTTTGAATTCTGAATTATAACTACTGGTTTATATGAAAACTTACCCTCATTTCTGGGGGACTGGCCTCAGTTAAAATCCTGTGGCTCTAGACAGAGGAGAGCTCAGTTCTCCCTGCATACCTCATCCCTCATTAGAACATTAAAATAAATTACCAAACATCTAACATTCAATTTGTGAAACATATTAAACTTTCTCACCTTTAATAAGACACAATTTGCCTAATGTCTCAGAGCAAGAAAATTCAATAGTGTTCTGATGGCTGCTGCAAGACTCCCAGGAGAGAAGTTACATTCTAAAGGATATAACTCCTACATAAGAGCAAAAATTAATGACAGTGATTTTCTACATAAAAACACAGGCTACAATCCACCCTTCTTGGATTTGGGTTTCTACAGTGCAGGTGCCTCTGTGTGAGGCAGGTGCCCAAGCTGCCATCACAGCCCATGGAGAGCCAGGCAGGACAGGACAGGCTTGGAGTCCACTGACTCATCCCAAGAACACCACCCACTCTGAGGATACTGAATCACTCTCAGCTCTGCTCACTATACTGACTGTAACAGGAGTTCAGACACCTTCCCCATACTGGTGGCAAATCACCCCCCCCAAACTTAAGCTGAGATTTAGCATCTCACTGCTGAGTAGCAAAAACCCTACACTTTTTGAATCATTCCTTAGTGAAACTGGAGAAGTAAATTCCAAGCAAATTCTGATGCATTACAGAAGAATTGAAGGCTGAGGATTACCTGCCGCCATGGGTAGCACTGCCTTTGGTGGCTTCTCAGAGGGCAAAAGGTAAATTGTTCAATGTAAAAACTAAATTCAAGAGGGATAAGGGGTCTTGCTCGAAATACATCTACAGTTCTCTAGTTGCATATCAGGGTCTCTTCCAGGGGATGCTGAGGGACATTTGAAAGATATTTCTTTCCACATATGGACAAAGTATCAAGCAGGTCTGTGATTTAGTGGGAACAAACCCAGGTAACCACTGAGGTACTCAGAAATTCACTACCTCCAGCTGATGCCTACCTTGGACAGAACATACAAACAGTGCCAGCACTTCATCCTCTCAGGAATCCTCTCCTGTCCCAACAGAAGGAAGAGATGCAGACATGGAATCAGAGCTCATTATTTTTAATTCCCAAGGGCCACTTTTCTGTGATACTACAAAACTTGCCAAAGGTGACAAGAAAATGCTGCAGGACTCCTGCCTGCCTATGGCAGTTATTAAACATAAACAGAATGTCACACGTGAGATTTACATTTTTTTCCCCAGCAGGGGTAGAGTACAGTGGAAAGAAGAATAAAATTTTCATGAAAGCACAGAGTTAATGGAATATATCCTTTTGGAAACAGCTGTGGATTATTTGATTATAGGAAAAAAGCACACAGATGGCTTTCAGAATCTGAACATTTTGCTTCCTGCAGCAGTGTGTTCTGTCTACTTCAGGGAATTCAGGACTAAAAAAGAAGCTTCACGGCCACTGGAGGGTGCAAAATTATCCAGCACAAAGAGCAGGTTTCGTGCACTTCAAAACAACCTTTCTGCTGCACTAACTCCCAAGAGAAAAGTGAAAATTATACTCACTTTCTTGGCAGTAAAGCTCTATCTGAAAGAAATTTTTCAAAGATGAATTTTATTTAGACTGCATAATGACAGAAAACTCAAAGTAGAAATATGGAAAGCTTTGCTTAGATGGAAAGGTAACTTTTAAAGGAAGCGTGAAGATTCTCAGGAAGAGAACATTAAAAAAATGTGTTCTCTTTGAAAGCTTCCTTGCTTCTTCCCCCCACCCCCCTCAAAAGTCCTTGAGAACAGGAACAAAGCTATGGGATATAGGTCTATACAACTTTACACACACCATATTTGAATGTATCTGTAAATATTTATTAATAGCATTATCACATTTCCCCAAATATTCTACAGCATCCAGATAGTTTCTTGCTGAGTTTCTTATAGTTTCTTGCTGTCAAAAAAAATTTCTTTATACACATATAAATTACTGAATATTTTGTTCTACCTCTTCTTTCCTTACTGCTGACAACTATTTTCCCCTTTGAAAATTTAATTGTGTTCAGAGTCCGGTCAAAATTATTCTTTTTTATAAAGTTAAAAGCCAAAATTACTTCATGTCTTTTTTGCACCATCAGTTATTTGAGAGTCTTCCTAACTCAGCAATGATGCCATAGTATCATTGCCTTCCTCTTAGTGCAGGTGTTAAATGTTTTTTTTTTCCTTGTCTTTCATGAGCCTAAAAGTCACTGGATCCACTTCACATTTCAGTCCTTCTGATTGTATCCCTACACATCCCTGTTATGCTCTAACATAGCTCTCTAATATCTTTCCTTTTCCTAATTTTGAGTGGATTATCATTCCTCCCATCAAACACTGTGCTGCCCACATCTGCCCAGCAGAAGGAACTGTGAAGGAACCCCACCCCAGCCCTAACCTTCCTGTAGGTCACTCCTCATTAGCAGCACAGGAATGAAAAGTATGAACTTTCCTCTGCCCTGGGTGGGGTTTTTGTTAATGCTGTATGACATTCATGGCCTAATTATGTGACTGGGCAACAGCCAGCACAGCAGCTGATTTGGTCTGCAGCACGCAGATAGCAGTACAACATTTGTAAATTCCAAGTCATAACATGTTTGTGGCATTTGAGAAACAGTTGCAAAATGCCAAAACTAATACTATTCCTTTCCCATTATAATGAGCAGGAAGATATATCAAACAGAGAACTATAATAGTATGATTTTGTTAACAGTTCTTAGTCTTCACTGCAGGCTGCAGATACCCAACTTTTCTAAGCCAACCAAATATTCCGAAGGTCAAACACTATGTATATTTATTTGCTAACTTCCAACTTGAAGACCTGCTTGTTCAAAAGGATTCTTTCCCAGTTCCAAACTCCCTACACATCTTTATATTCTTTGTATATTTTCTTAAAATGATAATCCATCAGGAAGACATCCTTTGTACGGATCCACTACCTATTCATGACTACTTGTCTCACTGGCCATTCATGGCTGCTAGAGTGAAATACAGTCAACCTCTGGTCAATACAAGCAAAAAAGAAAGGAGTAGGCCTTCAAATACAGGAATGTGCACTACATCATGGCAAAACCAAAGATTTTACCCAGAATTGCGACTACTCACTACATTTACCACAAAAGAGAACTCTCCAGCTTCAAATGGTGACTATGAATCAGTGGGAGAGTCAGACTTCCATACCTCCAAACAAAATAAAACTCTGAATTAATTCATTTCTTTAATCAAAGAATTGAAAGGAATTGAAATTTTCTGTCAGGCATGCTGTCAAACTGACAAAGTGACTCAGCGAGCAGAATAATTGGTCTGTAATGTGATTATATTTGGGGATTCAGGTTGGGATTTAAACATGCTGTTAAAGACTAAACTGAAATAACTGATTATTACAAAGTTGTCAGGCCTGCAGTTTTAAAAGGTCCTGCTGTCAGTCATTAAACAAGTGGGAACTCAGTGCAAAAAATAATTGGCTGCTGTGTCACCTTACTGGGGCTTCATTAGTAAATATCCTTAATAAGCTGATCCAGATGTGAAACACGGTTCCTGAGAAGGTGAGAGTGATAGTTCCTAGATTATTGCCCAAGACCTGTCCTCTTGCACAACAGACTCCTTTCATGAGGGGGAGACAATCAATAACCACACAGCCCATCTCCAATAAACAAACCCTCTCTCCAAGACACCAGCCATTAGGAAAGGGAGCAGCACAGGTCTCTAAGGACTCCCCAGGATCAGGAGAACCAGCCTACTGAACTGAGAGTTAGCCATATACAGAGGAGCTAAGCACAATTCCATGCAGGAAAAGCACTCTGGTTGGCACCCTGAAAGACATACTGCAGTCAGTGTGTTACAGGGGAAACCAAAACCCAGCAAAACAAAAACAAAAAAAAGCAATGAAAACTGCATAGTCAGAAATCTTCTGTGAAGCAAAAACACTCAACCAGAAGTTGCACAAACATGTCTGCATAAACCAAGTAATGCATATAGGGTAATTTAAGAAAATGAAACATCATAATTTTATTGCCCAAATAACGTAGACATGTGAAACACTACAGGGCCAGTAGCATCAGAACTGAGGAATCACATGATGATAAAAACCAGAGCAGAGCAGAGGGGCAGAATCACCACCCTCACCCTGCTGGCCACACTATTTTTGATACATCCCAGGGTACAACTGGCTTTCTGGGATGTGAGCACACAATGACCTTTTGCATCCAGTTTCTTATCCACCAGCACCACCACATCCTTCTTGGCCAGGCTGCTCTCTGTGACTTCTTTTCCCAGACTGTTCTTATTCTGGGATTGCCCTGACCCAGAAGTAGCACTTAGACTTTTTGAAGCTCATGAGGTTCTCACGGGCCCACGTCTCAAGCTTGTCCAGCCCCACAGGATGGCATCCCATCCTTCTGTTGTGCCAACTGCACCACCCAGCTCACCTCTTGTACGTCCTCACAATCTTCTTGCATGTTCACACTTCCCAACATTAAAAAACAACCCAAGCTTTCTAGCAGTGCTGTTTTGTTAGGAAGAGATTCACTGACTTTTTTAAAGTTAATTATTTAATATGCCAGAATTATATTACTGCTCTCATCCACCTGTATTCCTGTTTGATTTGTGTAAAAAATACACTAAGGAAGACAACCACACAGTTTAACTGCAAGACTCTACTTGTTTTTCATTAGTGGAAATGAAGACAATAAAATCATCACAGACAGCAGTTCCCATCAAGATTTGATTTGGAAGCTTTGCACAGAAGCTAAAAATAAAAGACTGTGCAATCATAAATCATTTAAAACTGTGTTCATGGACAAAGAGCATTTCAAGGATGATGTGTCCAACTGAAGTTGATGGGATCCCAGGGATACAAAAGAAGATGGAATATGAGAGGGTTTTCTAGGTGCCCTAAGCAACCCAAATCCCACGTGCTGAGTTGGGGCAGGGCATGTGCAAAGGCTTGGGGGAAATTCACTTGGTCCAGAGAGACAATCAATAGATTCACAGCTGTCAGAGGGAGGGAGCTGTGTCTGTCAAAACCTTCAGACCACAAAGTTCACATTTGTAAGGAGCTCTGAAGATCAAAGTCCTGCGGATTAAGATTTCCTTGGAGGATTCTATTCTCTTTTTTTCCACCTTAAAACAAAGTTTTTTGAAGTTTTTTTATTTGATAGGAAGCATAAAATGCTATTTACCCACAGTCTTGCAGACAGCTATATACAGAGACAAGAACTACTCACACCAATGTCAGATGAATTCCATATCATCTGTTTCTGTTCTAATACTGGCCAAAGTATTTTTTGCTCTAAAGAAAAAATAATTCAAAAGCTTTCCACAGAAGACTACTCCTCAATAAAAGTGAGGAGCTTGTGAACAGGAACCTCTCCAGAAATCATGTGCTGTTTGTAAAAAGAGATAATGGCCACATTCTCTTTCCACTCTGCCTTCTGAAGCCTATCAAGTTCTTCAGGGCTTTTAAAACCCTGAATCTATGTTTTCATTACAGAAAATATTTTCCTCTGAGTTTTCAGGAATAATCAGTAGTATATGCTTTTAAATTCAACCAACCTGACTGTAAATCACAGCAAGAACTCATGGCACATAATTTCAACCAAGCCTCTCAAAACTCCTGATGAGTAGTGGCCCTGCTCTGCCAATAGCAGAGGGCACAGCTTGCTTGGTGCTGTGAATTAGATCTGTGACCAAAACAATGCTGATAGGACACTAAAGATTGTCATATGGCTGAGCAGTGTTCTCACAACATCTCCTGTTTCTCCCTCTGCCCCCTCAGTGCTCTGAGTGTGCAAGAGCTGGGAAGGGACCCAGCCAAGCAAATTACCTGAATGAGAAAGGTGTAACAGCAAAGTCTGAATTTCAGGCCATTTTTTCCCAAAGGAAAACCAGAATATAATCCTGGATAATTATTCATTTCCATCTCACCTTTTACAGATGACACTAGATTCTGACTCTACTAAAGCAACTCTTCTTATTGCATTTGGTACTTGAGGTGCCCACAGCAGACACATCTGTAGCAAGAATAATGGGATCAGAAGTTGCAGCAAGCAACAGTCCAAGTGACAGCAGGGAAACAGTTTAGCAGGCGCACACAAATATTACAGGGTGAACATGGATGTGGCACCAACTGCTAGTTGTTGCAATACAGAGTTGCTCCTTAACCTTGCACATGACTCAAGAGGGTGTAAAAAATAATTTAAAAGCATAAGTAGAATTCAAAATTGTCTCATCAAAATGAAAATAAAAAAGGTCTATAAAAAGGAAATTAAGTCAATAACAATAAGAGCAAGAACACAGACTTGGGTGTAATTTGCTATAATAGCAAACTGTTGACTTGAGAGCAGGAGAGGATCTGAAGTTTGCAGGGAGTCGGGGGCTTCACTATGTTGTAGTCTCCTCAAACAGGCAAACTGCACTGGGGGTGTGTGTGTGTCTGTGAACAGGAGGATATTCCACCAAGAATGGCAGCAACCTCTCGTTTCAGACACAGTGATAACAACTCTCTGAGATATCACATCCACTCTCAAGACTTCCATCACATCCCATCTTAATGAACCAGAGAGACCCTAGAGCACAAAAGAATGAGAATAGACAAACATAACCTCCAGGAAAACATTGAAAGAAAATGCACAGTTTAACCTGAAGACAAGAATTTGGAGACAGCCTAACTGCAGTCCTCAGATATGCAAAAGCAGCCTCTGAAGAATGAAATCACGTTTCACACATCTGTAACAGACAAGACAATAAATACTGAACTTGAATCATGGACAAATCAGATTAAATATAAGAAAACAAATGTTTCACTATGAAAAACAGATCAGGAATGCCAATATCACAAATGTACCTGAATTTCCCTTTGGATCAGCTAGATAAAATTATCTCCTGTCCTCCTCTGATTCTATGGATGCCACAAACCACTTATGAAAGGCTTAAGGCCTACTTAATACATTTTATAAATCCAGTATTAGCGGATGAAGTACATAAACAAGTAAAATAGTAATTTCTTTTACACACCTAAAACTACCTTCTCTTCATGGTAAAGGACATACTCTGACATGTTTAATGGTGTACAGCCCAGTGTAGCTCTTCCCGTGAAGCCTCAGCACTTGTTCCCTAAATGTAATCAGTGCATATCCCAACGCAGTTACACAGAGACCTGGACTGCTGGTGTATAACAAATAGGTGTATAAAAGCCATACCAGGCTTTGCACTTTTCCACTACATAACACTAGCAAATCCTCACTGCCAGCCATGGGAAAGAGTGATTCAGGCAATGACCAAGTATTGTAGTACAGACTGGTCACTCTTAGTGGCTAAGAGGCTGACCCAGCCATTCCTAGCAAGTTCCTACTACGTCTTAGCAAGTGTTGCTAAGATGAGGTACCTAATGGAAGAGCAGCTTGGATAAGAAAATGAAAATCTAAGTCATGCAATGGCAGCCAGGAAAGAACAGCAAGGGACTGAAAGATCATAATGTTACCATTTCTGATTCAATTTGCCCATGTTAACTCTGAACTAAAAGCCTACATACCCAGTTCCACCTGGAGATGCCACAATCCATAAAGCCGTTATCATTGTTCATTGTTGTCTTTCATCTCACTGGCCTCCTGAACTGTGGAGTTCAAACATTAAAAGAGTTGTTCTACACTAAAAGGGAGAATATGGGAAGAGTTGGAAGAGCTGTAATGCTTTCAAACAACTACAAAGCCCACAGCTAAAACTGGCTATGAAACCACCTAGAGACATAAGAGATCACTTGGCATTCCCAAATGAAGCCCTGCAACCTGTGACTACAGGCAAGGGGAAGCTGTACAGGGGCAACTGTGTATTTATGCCCCATTACATACTTATCAGCTGTTCGCTGCTCATATCTTGTCTTACAATGCTGTTCCAAAACATTTTGACATTTGATATAAAATATCAGAACAAACATTTGATATAAAATATCAGAACAAAATAACATCTTAAAACCATAGAAGAAAGAGCTGGGACAGACTTGGAAAAGTCATCTTGTCTGGTCTCAAAACCAAACTGTGTCTATCTTTCATTCCAGATTTGGAGGTGACCAATAGCTGTGCATCAATGGCCAGAAATTGCAAACCAGAAAATCCTGAATAAAAACATTACCTCAACAATAGTGGCCCAAGAAGAAAACTTTCAACTTTATTCTAAAATGTTAATTGTGCTTGTGGGTTTTTGCTAAATTTGTTTTTAGTGCATGTATGCTCTAGGGTACTTGCTTTACAAAAGCTAAAAATTTAAAAATAATTAATTGATGCATTTTCAGTTCAAATACAGAACTTAAAAGTTGGCTCATCAGAGCAATTTCAGACTGCCTGCTGTCGTCAGACCACATGTACAAAGGCACATGCTTGAGCACTTTTACAACTACCCACACATGATGAGCTCAGACTGCTTTCTCTAACACAACCAATGTGTGAGATGTGCCTCTGTGTAGTGTTTGGGTCACAGCCAGGAGCAAGGGAGGGTAAAGATCCTTGTAGGTAAAGATGCTTTGTACTCTAGTATCTAGTCCTAGTTTACCCAGGATATTAAAGATCCAGTTTACAAAACAGCTACATTTAAAGCAAGAGTATAGCAGCTGTGTTTCATCTGTAGTCACATAGAAAAACATACTTTAATGATAAAATGACAAATGCAGACAACAGGAAATGCTGAAGAAATTTCAACCTAAGAAAGAACTCTCAGGGGATCCAGCAAAAGTTTTCTTCTTTCATGAGATACCAAGAGATTGGTGAACACCATGAGAATTACTATACATTTTAACACATTTTCCTTTCAGAAGAGTAGCAGCACCTATTACACAATCTTCTTGTAAAACAGGGCAAGACATGGATACAATCCAACACCTGTTAAATCACACCCGTAGATTCACTTGAAGAAAGAAAATCCTTCTCTTCCTTGGTCACACAAAAGAGTACATAGAAGCACATTTATAACAACATAAGAAATCAAGCTTCCACTCCCTGCTTTCCCTAAAGACATCTGAATTAATACTTTCTATCTCTCATTGCTAAAGAACTTGGGTATTCTTCCAGATGAAAGAGGTCCATTTAAAATTTTTTAGTATTTATAAGAATAAGGACTGAAGTCTAAGCACACCATGCCTTCCAAAAGTGCCCTAACAAGCTGTTTACTGTCCCAGCCTCATGAATATTTAGAGATACTTATGAGGAGGAACAGCTTAACCTGACAATACACTTTTCTGGTCTGTGACCAATTACGACAAGATATTCTTCTCAGCGTATGTGGTAAACACAGCCTCCCATTTTGAAAACTTCTAAAAGGGTAAGAAACATCTTCCTGTATCACTAGCTTGAGTTACTCTTATCCCATATTTCAGAGTCCTTTCCAAACAATACCAGTAGTTTTGTAGTTTTGCTGAAAGCAGAATAATAAAATATGCATGGACCATGAGTCAGAGGATTTCTCTACACACAAGTTGGATATTCTTTGTGAAACACAGCACTTCCCTTGAGGAAAACTAATTCTGAGTGAAGTGATGTAAGAAGAATTCCATTTCCAGTACAGCTTTGGATAAAGACTTTTCCACAGCCTTAAAAGACAGTCACCTCTGCTGCTTCCAGCTATCATCCCAGGAGGCAGATGAGACTGGAGGCTACATATGCTTTCAGAGAAAGCAATTTTTAGTCATGCTATATACCACCAAAGACTGTGCTTTAGCTAAATTTGGTTCAGCATTGCTACATTCTAAGCAACTACTAGCAGTTACCATTTCACATCCTGTTTGCTAAGCAGTCTTCCCAACAGCCTAAGGAGAACACTAGAACTGTCCCTTTATCCACAGCTTGCTGGTGAACAGGTGTAAATCAGATATTAGATCACTACAATCATCATCAAAGCTTACTTTTAAGTTACTTCTCTTGCAGTGGCACCACTTGACAAAGATCCTACAGAAAATTCACAACACAGCAGATTCCTATCTCTACCATATTTATTTGTCAAAATGTGGCAGTGGGGCAAGAACAAGGAAAGCACCACATCTTCAGCAAAGCTGCCAAAGACCACCAAGGGACTATAAATAAACACCTATTCAACTCTGTAATATTTAGTATCCATTTCTTAATCTGAGCAGTTCACCATAGTTAACAGAGCTGTACAGAGCAATAGTTCAGAAGAAAAAGAACAGGAAGCACACTGAGGCACTTACACAAAGCCTTAACCTCTCCTATGCCAAGGGCCTTCCACCTTCCACTGTTTGCAGCCTTTCCCTGGAGCACTGCAGCCTCCTGTTCACAAGTCTGCATCCCTTCCCTTGTGCTGCTGTATTGTTTCTATTCATGTCCTTCTGTCCTTGTCTCCTGTTCTCCTTGTTCTCCCAGCTCCCTACCTGCAAAGTCTAAGCCTGCTATGTTAGGGTTTCCATAGGAAGAGGTGGACACTGATGCAAGAATCATCCTTTCCCCACCTCACACTTCCCTACCCTCATTTCATATCTTTTACACAAAAGAAAAAAACAAAATCTAAAAAAAATAAATGGTGGAAGTGGTCCTTGAAGCAGATGCAGGCATTTCCTAGTGACATCCACACTTAACAATCAACTAACATGCAACTCTTGCCTCTGGTCACAGCGTGCTTCAACCAGCTCTAACAGCATCACAAGCAGGGATTTTGAGCTGGTCGTGATGAAAACTATTAGGGCAAAGTACTACCAAAAACCACCTGTGGCATGAGAGGGGACACCCAGGGGAGAAGAGTCAACTGGGGAGATCCCTGTGATGATTTTCTTCTTTGCTGGCCATTAGAGAGCATGTTCCCTTGAGATTCTTCTTTCACTATTACCAAAAGTAACTGTAAGTATTAAAGCTGTCATTTGCCATCAGCTATGGACTGTCTCATTATCCTTTGTGCTTGAAAAACACTACTTCATATTGAAAGAAAGTACAAAAAATTGCATTCATTCTTGTGCGGGGGGGCAACAGCAGGTTTATCAATGACATTCTCTGTGAATGTTTGCCTTAGTGCAATGACCTCAATTTAAAGACCACAAGGACACAAAATCAGAAGACTATTTTCTGTACAATTTACTTCTGTAGCAATGTATCTGTATGAATCAAAATGTTCTTAAAATGTACACCATTTTTGACAAAAGTTCACTACGATAATTAAGCACTGGCTTAATACAATATAAAAAATATCAGTTGTCTCAAATATTATAAAACCTCCAAAAGCAAAAGTTACATTTTTAAGAACTCAAATGGCCACATGGATATTATCCTTCTGGCTCAGTTGAAAAAGGAAAAAGTAAACTCACTGTACAAATATGGTTTTTCAGGCTTGCAGGTACATGTGATCCAGCGTCCAAAACTGAAACAGATCATCAGGAATTAACCGATATCCTATATTTTAAAATACATTAGCCACACATAACACATTGGTGTTATTCCTAAAATTTGAAGTATCCTTTAGGGTAATTCATGGCTTATATAGTCCTTGACTTCAGGTTGTTCTCATTCTTTCTCTTTGGTGAAGTCATATGGTTTCCACCACTGTGCAAACTGCAACACCTTTTTCCGCTGCTCCTCAAAGTTCTGTCTGATTCCTTTTCTCCAGAGCCGTGGTTCCAAGTCCAGCATGCCACCAATAATTTCCTTTGCAAGTAAAAGTAAGATAGATAATGAAAAATGCAAAATTACCACACTACTTAACACTATCTTATCATGGAATGAAGAAATATGTATTTTCAAATTATGAGATTGTCCATTTTCTTCAAGTGCTAATTAAAACTTAAAATTCTGAAAAATATACCAATTTAAACACAGAACTGCAGTTGTTAGATGGTTGCCTCAGCAAAATTCTTGTAAGCACAGCACACTGATGTACTGCTTAAATATCCTAACATTATAAGACTGTTAATGCATTAGTGCATTTGTGATTAAGGTAAGTTCAGAGAAAGAAAGCTGCCCACTGTGCTGTTTCTAGTGTTATATTTCTCCCCCAATTTTTCCCATGTTTTTCCAACACCAACCCTTTAAAAAATGTTTTCTGTGATATAGTAAAGACAAGAAGAGTTTATTACAGCTCTCCCTGTACATATATTTTACACTATACATACCATGAGTAGCAGTTTAACCACACGAGGATTTTAGTAGTTGTCTGTATGTGTATGCACAGTAATTCATACAAGCAGGTGCCAGTGCACCTATGTATCAATACTATGGCCATGAAAATTTTTAAGTAGATGTAAGTATCTTCCATCTATAAGATTATATACCCATCATTTCAAATATCAGCAGTTCAGATCAAATTTAAAGAAACACCAGTTTAGAATCACAATCTCACTATCAGCTAGTGAAAAAATCATCTACTTCATTAAACCAGCCAAGTTACAATGACTCATCAAGAAAAGACAGATAATAAACTCAGATAGGGAACATCAAAGTAATTGTTCTGGCAACATCTTGCTTTAAAAAAAAATACTTAAATTTTCCAAAACAGACTATAATTGGTAAATTAATCTTCTACATAACAATACCTTTCCAAAGTAATGAGGGAAACTGTGTTGATCTTCAATCACATGAGCAAATCCTCCTTGAAGGCCAAAGTCCACAGAAAAGTACGGCAACCCTTTAGGAACCTACACATGCAAAGTCACATTTTCAGATGTTTAACAAACATTGCTGGCATTCAGTCAACCTCCCCACAGGAGAATGAATTTGAACATGGTTTTGCAGTTTTATAGTACCATGTGTTATTTTAAACTACCTCTCAAACCAACTACATGTAGGATAAAACTGCAATAGAGAAAAAGTAAAGCAAACACGTAAGGGAAAAGCACAATTTACAGCAACTGGACAAAAAGACACTGAAGAGAGGATGGCTGGATGGCAGAACTTCCAGAGGCCACAGCTGGAATAGCAGGTAAGAGATGGGGACACCAGGCAGCAGTGTGCACAGTGGGCAAATGCCTCCCTGACTCCACATCTATGAATTACATAAGTTTAACAGAAATTTTAAGATAACCACTAGCAAGCTGCATTTATTAAAGATGTTGACTTTGGTCAACATTCCTATGGTAACAGGAAATATTTACCCTGAAAAAAACCTGACTCTCAGGGAGAAGGGGAAACACCTTTTTAAACAACAGATTACCAGAAACCCCCTCTATGTGAATGGACAGATATTATCCTTAGCTTGCCAAATCAGACAATAATTCTGTCAGCCTGCAGGAGAGATGCTGGGTATCTGCCACAACAAAGACCCTCCTGTCTAACAGAAGTGGATCCATTTATTGCTACAGTACTGCAAATAATTTCTGCTGTTTCACTGCAACAATTTATTTTTCACTCCTTTAATTGCTGAGGACATTCCTATACAGGTAAGATTTACAAAGCTTCTAATCCATAAGCATTTCCTCTGCTACACTCCAAATAACCATACAACTTTCTGGAGGAGTGTTCAATCTATTGCTTGAAATACTGACTCTAAATTAAGACTTAATACAGAGGAGCAATGTAGCAAAGCAAGAAACATTTAACACTTTAAATGGACTTTAAATATCATTAAATAAGGAAAAATGGGTTGCCAGGTGATAACTTAAAGAAAAGGTCAGCTTTGTCTTATTTCTCACAATTTCTGCACACAATCCCCCCACTAGGTGATGTCTCAGCCATGTCTGACCTTCTAGCCAGGTACCACCATCTCCCAATACAACTCCCCAAATTCCCAAACCTCAGCTCAGTCTCTAAGCCGCACCCTCCGATCTTTCTGAAGCCTACAGACATTTCTTACCCAACAATAATGTTAAAATCACACAACTGCGTAACAATTCATGTTCAGCTACATTGTATTACTGTAAAGAACCGTCCTGTCTTAATCTGAAAACCGGCCTACCTTCAATAAATATATAATAGTCACAAAAATGTAAGGCTATATAACACACATCTTCCAGCTCAATATTAAAAGGACAGAACAATCTTTGAACCTAACCAATCCAGCATTATTCCTTTCATATTTGTTTATATAAAGATGTTTCATCTCAGTATCCAGGAGACAGAGAGGGTACTGTTCCCTTGTTTTACAAAAAAAAAAGCTTCATAATGCTATTTATATTTTCATTTCATAAACTTAGCAACAGAAACAGGTGTTCTAGGTTAATGAAAAGGACAAATCATATTTGTTTCAGGAAAGTAATTTGCAAATCTTTGATCTACCTTAATTCTTAAAGTTAATCAAGAAGATTATGCCAGTATATGTCCTCAAAGTGTCAGCTTTGTTCTCAACTAATGCTGGCAGCTTAGTCCACCAATTGTTGAAATAAATGGGAATCTTTTCCCTAATGTCAGTTAAGAGTGCAGACTGGTAATTCTCCTCATACCTATGCCATCCTCTGATGCACTAATCTAATTGTGGTCCCTTTCTTCTCTCTTTGAAACAGTTAATAATGGAAAAATGTTAGAAGAATTTGATGATAAATTCAGGATACAAAACACTTTATTACTTACAGATTTCCGAATGTCTTTTGAAGAAAGATCAATTAACTTCTTGTTCATGGACCACTCTTCATCAGACTCCATTATAGCTTTCTGTAAAATTATTTCATCTAAAGGTGAAAGCAGTCCTTCACAGCAAATAAAGAACTAACAGTAGTGAAGTATATTGCAGTAGGGCAAGTAACAATACTTCTTAACAAATTAGCTTTATTTTTGGTAACTTGTCTCATTTCCACAAGCTGTTTTATAAAGACATTATATAATATCTTCAGACCCACCCAATTCAGGTCCTCTGTTTCTTTATTTTAATTTGAGTTTTGCTTGACACAAGTTTCAAAGTAAAGGTCACATTCTCTTTTTACTTACCCCATACAAAACCTCTTATGAATTCATTACACTAAATTAGCCTTTTCCTATTTTAAACACTAAGAGAAGAATCCAGCTTAGAAGGATGATTGTCCTTAAAAACCCACAGCTGACTCTATATTCCCCATAGTATGGAATTGGGTATATTGTAGGGTAGGTACCTTTAAATTTCATTTGCAGTGCATTTTAATGGTAGATACTTCCAAAATAAATGACATTGCATTAAATCTTGTTCCTTCTCTTTCCTTGAGTATTCAAAGAAAACACAAGTTATACCAGCACCTGAAGCACAGCAGTCAGATCTGACAGGTGAAAGGTTTCAAATGTGATAAAAGTTACTCTATTGTTGTTCACCATACTGCTGCCCCACTTCATCAAAACCTAATCACATTATTTTCAGAAAGCATAAATAGTATTTCAAAAATCAAATAAAATAATTTACTTATAAAAGGCAAATAATGAGTCAGTTGCTGAAAGCTGAAAGGACTCAGTTCCAGGCAGAAGCTTCCGTGAACCTTTTCTTAAAAGGTCAGGGTAAAGAGACCAGAAAAGCTGTAGAAGAAATATCTATCCTGCTGTAGAATGTTCATCAGAAGCCTAAGACACATGTAAAATTTGGGCTTACTGAAATAAAATAGAGATGAAACACTATCTACATTGGTATTCCTTAAAATAGGTAACATTATTTTCTCATTTACTGCTTGCCAAGTCACAAATATTGTGCTTTAAGTTTATAGTACAAGACTCAAGTAAGAAGTACTGCAATCCTTTAAGCACTTCAAGAGGCCACAATTCTCTCATCTTCTAGTATTTTCAGTGCAGTCAGACTTGGGAGAAATGCTCAGTGAAAAACAGCTCTTCCACTGATTACTTGAAAAAAAATTCTTCCATTGATTACTTGAAAAACTGAATTACTTCACACTGCTTATTTTAAGATCAAGGAATATTAGCAAAGAATGGTCCAGAAGAAGGACCAAAGAACATATATTTTCAAAAACAGCACTTGAATATAAATTTTTTCCCAGAAATAGATGAATTATGATATATTCATTCAAATTACTTCATTAAAACATTTTTATGTACCTTGAAGTATATTGGAGCCATATCTCCTACTTCTTTTGGAAGAGGAATGCATTCATATACCATATGATACCTCTTCTTCATACTCATGTTTGTTTCTAGGAACACACAGTCCAAGTCTTTAGCTTCAAACATTTTCACCAATGCATTTCGGAACATCTGTTTAAAGGAAAAAAAAATGTGTTATTTAAACTGACTTTGCAGAACTTTCAGATAGAATGTACTATTTCACTAGCTTATTATGTAATAAACTAACAATAAAATGGTAAAAATCATACTTGGAAAATTATTTATTCTTTATTATTTACTAATTTAAGATTAACTATATTTCCTATGATAAAAACATTGGAAGTCTAGGAAACTACTTTGAAATACACAATATAATTAACACTACAAACTTAGTTTTAATAAATATCACATATTTTTACAGCTGAAATTGAAACTATGTTGATCTTCTTAACTTAGTGCTCCATAAAACAACATGGCTTTAATAGTAGGTCCCAAGCTTGCAATTCCTAAGACAGTAATGACCTGGCTTTTACAGACTATAGTTACGATTACCCTTTTACTACTCCTTCCAATTATACAGTTCAACAAAAAAAAAATTAAAAATGTAAGTATTTTCACTAGGCGTGCTTGATATTTAAGTAAAATACCAATAATTGCCTCAAAAAATAGATCCACCATCTTCACTGTATGGAAGCAAACCAAATGTAATACTCACTGTGTGTGGACTCAAGCTACATTTACCAGCTCCCTGTCAGAGGGAGGAGGTGCTGCACCCACTCAAAGTGCATTTCAGGTAACAATTCTGATAGCTCCAGTGTCAGGGTCCTGCACACGGCCAAGAGGCCCTGCAGGGGCTGGGCCCTACCTGCTGGGGCTCTGGCTGCCTGTGTAGGTGGGAAGCTCTGATGCACTTCAGTTGTGAACTGCATCACGTCCAGCAGAAAGAGATGGGGTATTAAAGATTGGTGAGAAGTGTGGACCTGGCCTCCTGTCATTCAGGAGCTCCAATTAAGTCCAGGCTGTCTCTTTTGGTTCTTCTGAGCTGTTTCAGGAATGCCTGTGCAGGTACCTGGCAGTTCTTGGCCCTGACTTCATCTCAGACCTAAGTCCTCACTACAAACCTGCCTGGCCATCACAGGGCCATGGAGGACCTCGCCTACTAGCACAGGAACACTCCTGGCCTGGTACCATGGGAGCGTGTCCTGTCATGAGATGACCTCCCCCACCTGCCTTGCCCATCACCTTGAGCCCCTGACTTGGTTCCTGCAGAGCAGCTGGCTCTGGCTGCTCCCTGGCTCTTGACAGCTGGCACTTGCATCCACGATATGCAAAAGCATCGTTCTATAGCTTACAATGTTCACATGATGAACACATTATCAAGAACAAGGGATGATTTCTAAGAGTCATTCAAACTCATTTTCAAGTGCACAAAAGATCTAACTTTCTGATAGGGTGAGTGTTTCTGATAGGGTGAGTGTTTCTGAAAGTTTCTCAAGATCTTGAAAAATGCTTTTTAAAAATGAAGATTTTTGTCCTACGTGTGTTTTTATACCATTTCCAAGTGTAAGCCAAGAAATCACTGAAACTGCAGGATCCTCATAGACCAAGGTATCATAGCCCTAAGACACATAATTCATAGGTAGTCCTTTTTGTACTGGCATTTTTTCCCAATTAACAATGCTCAGAAGTAGAAACAGCACCATTAAAAGGCAAATCCCAGCAAAAGGTTTAAGATTCCTTATCTTAATGTAAATGGAGAGTGATGAATCAAACATACATAAACAAATACACATCAGCAACATCATCATTTACTGTAAAAATAAAGTACTGAAGTAAAAAAAGAAGGAAAGCCAATCACTACCAGGTTTTTAATGCAATGGGACTAGAAATTGAACTCTCCATCCTTTTGCCATCTTGTTCAGTATAAATCAAACTAAAAGTCTAAGAAACATGGCCAAATATATATCTAAACTAGGCATTTAAGCTCTTCAAAGCAGGCTCTTGTGCCCTGAATTTTTCCTCATAATGAGCTTCTCCATGCTGTGACAGAAGAATGCTGCCATCATTCCCCTAAAGCAACTGATGAATTACAGCCAGAAGACATTGCCCAGTGTGCCATGACTGATATGGGCCTCTACAGCACAGAGTGACAGGCTACTCTGGATTAACAACTTTTTGTCTTCTCCTTGTCACTCCAGCCACCAGAACTCCACTTCAGAAACACACTGAAGCAAGCAATGTGGTGAGACACCAAAGGCTGACAAATACTACGACTTACAGCTGCTACCCTGCAGTGTTAACTGAAATGCAAAATCCACCAAAAAACCTTGAATATCAGCAGATGTTAGCTAACTTTGCCCAGCTGGATTTTCTTGTTTTTAAATACATTGGACTTTTCCTCCAAATTCTGAGCAGGCCAAAGCATCAAGAATAATTAGCACTGGAAAGGAGAAAACCATCCACAAGGGGAAATAAGAAGGCTTGGCTTATGCTTGGGTGAACACAACATTAATACATGCAACAGTTCAGTCAACACTGGATGTATAAAGATTTGTATCTTTTCATATTAAAAATATTCCATGCATATTTGCTTTGGCAAATGAGCACATCAGTGTCAAAACTACACAATACATTAAATTCAAGAGCTTGAAGGCATACAGCATAAAGGAACTCTTTTTGCTTTAGTCCAATATATCCTAAAAAAATCCAAACAGCAAAAATAGTTAGCTAAAACACATACTTCACACAACCTTTTGGGAATACTTAATTTTTCTGCCCTTCAACAGTAATAAAAAAATATGTCTCTTGCATCAGAAAGTTACTTCAGTCATTGACTGTCTGCTTATACTCTTGCTGATGTTTTACAGACTCCTTCGTCTGTAGTACATATGTGTTGGGGAAAAAAACATAATCATGTATCCATCACTTTCCAAAATACTTCGCTGCAAAGAAATATCTCAGAATATCTATATTCTCACTATGAATATATTCACAGGATCAAAGGATTTATCAACTAGATGCCTTTTCTAACAAGTAAAACACTAGTGTTGAATACAGGGACTGCATTTTCTTATCTTTTCATTATCCTATTTTCTTTCTCATACAATTTAAAAAATCATAATTGTTTAGTTAAGAGCTTGGGCTAAACAGAAGATTGAGGATAAACATATTTATCACTTTTCCGCATGCTCTTTTGTTCCTCCTGATCCTACTTGTTGCACTTATTTGTTTCTTATCCAACTTTCCTAGGCATTTCTGTCATATCTAAGAGAACTCCTTTTCTTTCTGGCTGGAAGGGAGCATAATTTACTATATGAAACAGCATCAGACATGAGAATCAATGTGGGGGCAAATTTGAAAAGTCAGAGAATCCATCTGCCAGACTTGAGGCAAGACCAATGTTATTTAAATTATTACAAACTTATAAATTATGCTGGTTTTAAGTCTCTAAATCTCGCAGCTACAACAATGAAACCTTTCTCTAGTCTGATATAGTCTCCAATATTTCAATATAAGAGGTGGCAAATTGTTTTCCACTTGTAATAATCCTGATGGCAGAATAGGGGATTGACAAACATAATCATTCTCTTAGGCAGAAGCTTGTTACATCCCTCCCTTGATTTACCATCTCCAAAGAAAACAGAACTCAAAATCTTCAAAATGTCTTCATAAGAGACTTGGAAAGCACAACCCATCATGCTTGGTGCTTTATTTCAATAATTCTTTTCAAAAAGGACAGAAAGTTGGATTTGAACAGGGATCTCATTTATTTTAAGAGTAAGGTATTTCTCTCTTAACTAATATCCACCCAAAAACAGATTAAAAACTGAAGATATGTAAACAACATATTTGTATTTAATTTTAAGTGATCTGCCTGCTCTGACAATTCTTTTCTTTTCCTTGGCACTCCCAAGAAAATCCTGTGAAGTCAGTTATTCTATTTTCTGTAAGGGATCAGCTGTACCTTCTTCATTTCCAATAGACATTGCTCTGACATGGTTTCACAGATCTCCAAGGACGCACATTCTGCAGCATTCCAGGAAACTTCTTCTAGTGCTCATAAAATTTGCTTCAGTATTTACCCTGCCTCTCTTTCCTGTTAATATTTGACCACTAATTTTCATCCACAATGTCAGAAGGTTCTGCCCCGTAGTGGAATCAGGACAGAGCTACCAGACTGCAAATTATGAAAATACATACTTATGACAAGGATGTTATTATCCACAACAAAATTATTTTACAAAAGGGTTAGAACAGGAGACGGTTTCTGAGCAGACCTGGATTTCTTCCCAGATGTCTTCATCCAAAAGAGTGGCTGCAGTATGGTGCTGTAGAGGGGCTATCAGGCAGTGACCTTCAGTAAGGGACTGGCTGCTTGGTAGAGACAAGTACACCTAGGAAAAGCAAACAAAAACTCAAGTGCTCAGTTTTCCAGCATTAAAAACCTTCCCATTGCTGAAGTTAAAAAATTCACCATTTGCTAAATTCAAACCAACAGAAGCCATTAGCTACTGACTACAGAAAAGTATTGGCAATTTTAGTACCTTTTTAAAAGGGCCCATTATCTACCAGTAAATCAATCAAACCAGTATCCTGAGAGCAGTTCCACCAGCAAGGCAGTATTATCACCCTTATAAACCAACTGGTACCATAGCTGCTATGAATTCACACAATTTAGTGCACTCCAGTATTTTTAATATAGATATATGGCTTTATGCATTTTTAATAATATGCAGAGGGATAGAGAGATAGAGAGATAGAGAGATAGATAGATAGATAGATAGATGATAGATAGATATGATGCATATTCCTTGTCATGGTATAACCTGGCAGGCAACGAGACATCACACAGTTGTTCACTCACTCCCTGTTCCCAGTGGGATAGAGGGAGAGAATCAAGACAAAAAGTAGAATTTGTGGGTTGAGATAAAGGCAGTTTAAAAGGACAGGAAATTAAATAACGATGATGATAATAACAACAAGGTACAAACCAAGCAATGCACAGTGCAATTGCTCACCACCCACCAACTATTGCTCAGCCACTGAACTTTCCCCTGAGTTTATCCACTGAGCATGATGTCATATGGTCTGGAACATGCCTAAGGTCAGTTAGGGTCAGCTGTCCTGGCCATGTCCCTTCTCAACTCCTTTTGCCCTCCCCACCTTCTCACTGGCAGGGCAGTACGAGAAGCAGAAGAGTCCCTGAGCACTACTTAGCAACAACTGAACACATCAGTGTCTTATTAACATTACACTCATCCTAAATCCAAAACACAGCACTGTATGAGATGGTATACCTCTCAGCTGTCTAACTCTGCATACCTGTACCAGCTGTGTAACTCTTTACCTATAAAGAGCTTCAGATCAAATGAAAAAATCATTGATAAATGAAAACTGTAGCAAAAAAAAAAATGCAAAAAAGGCTATATTGAAGTATTTCAGATGTTATAAATCCAAATATTTATGCAACTCTTAAAAGCATTAACAGAACCAGAAAGGTTTCCAAACCAAACTTTTGTCTATTTCAAAGGATTCTAAGCTTAAAAGTTGAATTCTCCACCTAGTTTTCTCTGATATCAAGACACAGTTCTTCACCAAATTCTTCACCAGTTCTTCACAAATTTCCTACAGTGAAGTGTGATTTAATCTTCCACAAATCCACCAACACTCTAATCTCTGCACAGAGATCTTTCACTATTACTTGTCTTCTACAAATGTGAAGTCCCAACATCAAAGATTAGCTTTAAAATTCATGACAGATTTATATATTTTTCCTCTTCACCCTTGATGAAGTTGTGGAATCAACTGAAAGAGCAAGGAAAGTAAGATGCAGAACAATAAATCCTTCCACAGAAGCAATTTCGTTCCTAATTTTAAACACTCTGACATCATTTCTCTTTTATTTCCATGCTTGTGTTAAATTGCTATTTTCTTACCTTGGTGCCAATTGCAATAATAAGATGTTTAGAAAGTTCACTGCTATCAAAGCAGTAGGGGCACTTTTCCATGCATGCAGCAAGTTGCTGGTGCTCACGGATTGCTTTTCTTCTTTGTACTTCCTCCTCTTCTCCACTGCGTGCTCTCTTGGCTGCTTTGGAAACAAACATATCATCCAGAGTGTAGTACTCTCTGTCTGTTTTCTCCATGAGCTGAAAAGATATGCAGAAAAATTGCACTTATTTATAAAGTAGCAAGAAAAAATTCTAACTCTTTGAAAAAGAGCTTCCTTCCTTGAAAAAAGCATAAAGTACACAAGCAGTAGCATTTCTTCTTTTCATATGGCATCAGCTGCAGATGGAATAATCAGGTACCTCTCCTGAGAGCAGTTATACACAGATATTAAAATATAGATATGTGACAGCAGTGAGAAGAGTATATTACTATGTTCCATTTCAAATTAAAGGCTAGGTATTTCAGTATTATCTTGACATAACTTTGGCTATCTTTAAATAGATGCACAATTTCATATATCATTTTTATAACATATTTTATCCTCTCCTGTCTCCTCCTCCTCTCCTTTTACAACTACCGTTAAATCATTTTTTGTGAAATAACTAGATCATGACTCTGCACTTCATATTCACATTCTGTGAAAATATTCCAACACTTATTCTTACCAAGGGAACAGGACTAAGCCATTTTGGGAAGAAAACAGTCTTTGCCTTCAATACTAAGTCTTTCTGAGTGCACCTGTTGCATGCCACAACAAATCTTAATATATTTTAGGATACTGACTAGGGTAGTCCTAGAAAAGAACAAATGTTAACTGGAGACATTTGGAAGGCATGCCTTCATAACTGAGCTCTTCAAATTAAAGTCTTCAAATTAAAGAAATACTTCCAAATATCCCAGACATAGCTTTCATAGATAATCTGATATTAAAAAAAAAAAAAGGACAAAGTACATAAGTAACTTTTAACTTGCCCCAAAAAAGACAAAAGCTCTTGCTTTTCCCAAATACTGCAGTCCTCTAACACAGACCAAAACCTTGTTTTAAATATGTTCAGTATTCTTCTTATCAAACAATTGAGGAGGAGTCTCCTTAATATTACTTTATTCAGCTATAATACACTTAGCTGCTTATGTGCATTTCCTACTGGAAGCCACTGCAGACTAAAATCAACAGTTCAAGAGTTTAACTCCATTCTTCTTCTGTCTTGCTGTAATTCTACATTTAACAGAAAAAGAAGATTTCTGAGATTTAAAAAAAAAGTGTAGTGGTTTGGGTGTCTAAAATCATGTCTCTGTTTTTCTGTCATAAAGGCATTAATAAGGTAAAGTCAGACCTGCAGCCGAAGCACTGCTTGGAGAATAGCAGCATTTTGTTATTACTAAACATTAAGTTTGGGATTTTTATTTAAATCAAAATTCTGCCATGAGAATGGAAATACACAGGAAACATGACAGTTGGCGAACTAGAAAGGAAAAGAAGAGTGGAAATCACAACATTTTGGCTATCAGGAGTATCACACAGAGCAGAAAATACCATTACTACTCTGCTCTGCTTGCACGTAAAAGTAGCCATGAAAATTCCTGGTTTGTTACACACAACCTCCACAACCTCTTTTAAATAATAGTACTTTTCAAAATACTCCACAGAATCCGTTGTGATAAAATAAATACTCTTCTTATTAAACAGCCTAGATGAAGATGCTTCTCTTCAAGATGGACAAATTACTGCATACAATATGATATCTGGGATCCAAAGCAAAATTCTTACATACAAAGTAGAAAACTTTCATAAAGTAGGCGCTGTCTAAAATCCAGATTTTGTTTCTTCTGGTACAGTCATGACCAACAGATCACAGAACCATACAATGGTTTAGTTTGAAAGAGACTTTGAAGAGACACCTTCTTCTAAGCCAAGCTGCTCAGGGCCCCATCCAGCCTGGTCTTGGATGCTCCAGGAATGGGGCATCCACAACTTCTCTGGGCAACCTGTCCCAGTGCCTGATTTCCCTGAAAGTAAGGAATTTCTCCCAAATAAATAAACTAAATCTACCCTCCTTCTGTTTGGGGCCATTAACCCCTGTTGTATCTGCCTTTGTGATTTCTAGTCCCCCTTTAGGTACTGGAAGTGTTATAAGGTCTCCTTGGAGCCTTTTCTTCTCCAGGCTAAACAACCCCACCTTCTCTAAGCCTGTCTTCATAGGAGAGGTGCTCCATTCCTCTTTTAAAATATTTATACTTCTATTTGTACAACAGGGCACCCAGTGAGTTCTGCCAATTGTATTACTTGGCTATAACTAAATCTCTTAAAAAGAAGTTAAAAGGGAATCGAAACAAGAAGAAGAAATCATTCTCTAAAATGCCAGAAGGAAAGCAAGTAATCATTAAAAAACCAATTTCTTTCATACATATATTCTTGCATACAAAAGACAGAGCTAGTACACATCCAAAGAAGGAACTAGGCTGATGTATTAGAGCTGCTGGAAAGCTGCTGTTCTGAATCATAGGTGCAGCATCACACCCATCAACCACAAAAGCCAGTGCATTTGGATGTTGTGTATTTAGTTCTCTTGCCATGATTGATATTGTTTGGTATTGCCCTTGCTGCTCAGGTGCTGCACAGAGATCAGAAAGATGCAGGAAGTCATTCTGATCTATTAGTTTAAAGTTGAGATGTCCTACAATACATCACTGAATTGCCTAAAGCTAAGAAAGGAAATGCACCTGAAGTCCTTGTTCCTACCAGACTCTGATTAAAGCCCAGAGCTGTGCTACACTGATATGTTCATAAGACAGATCAGCTCTACAATCCCCAGTCTTCTTTTTCCTACTTCACTTTTCTTTATTCTGGGATTATCTCCCACATTCTTCCTTCATATACATCCTCTTTTTTTCCAGCCTCCCCTTCTCTTTTGGCAAGCACTGATTAGCCAGAGCACACAAAGGCATCTTTAGGAGAGGCAAAATGACATGGCCTCCCACATCTCATAGCATAATTGTGCAACTATGTCATTGCTACCATCCATCTGATTTTCCATAACCAGGATGCAGTTTTCATTTCACCAACAGAGAAGGATCACAATTGTGCTTGCCCTGGCTGAGAGAGGCCTGTAATACACAAACATTTAAACAGCAGTCAGGGAAGGCATCCAAACTTCTCACAGGAGCCCTCTGGGCTTTCATCTGGACAGCTCAAATACAGTGCAAATGTGGCTAAAACCCAAGAAAAGGGGTGAGATCTCTAACCATTCAGCACAGGAGTTAGAAAGAAATCAGCATCTGACTATGCATAAATTAGAATGATTTGAGAGAGGGAAAAATTGTTGTATTTTCTGATTAAATCCTTATCATGATAATTACCATGAATAATATGAATAAATTACATGAATTATTTCATTATATAACATTCTGTTTACTAAATAATTGAAGCCCTTTTTAATTTGCTATGTTAGTGAAGCCATCAGGCACCATGGCATGGGGCTACTTCCTGAAGTAAGTCTTGCAAATCTGTGCAAGGTATACTACAGGGTCAGCTTAATTTTTCTGCCAACCTATGCTCAGCCCACTGGAACCATATCTCTTAGCTTTATTTTAAATAAATTCTTTTTTTCTTATTCCACAGTAAAACCCCTGCAGTCTTATACACTGCTGGCTCCATCTCAAGTGTGCTGCACATTGTGCCTCTTATTGCTCCCTCTACTGCTACTACTTGCTTTTTGGGTGGCTCCTTCAAATAAAAAGCCCTGCTAAAGAATTTCGTACTATTGTGATACTGAAAGGAAACCTTAATAGACAGAACTCCCAATGATCGAGATTATACTTGTATAATACCTCAAGTATACTTTTTCCCCCACTTCAAATTTCCTTTGAAATTTGTGGATGAAATTGGAAATTCTATTAAACACAATTAGCAGAGGAACAAAAGATACCTGTGTGGTTCCAGTGTGGGTTATTTTCAGCTTTTTTGTACTGTTTCTTTTCTGCTTATTTTCTTGCTTCAATTTGTATGCAACTATTGAACTTCTGCTTTTCCTGTTTCCTTGCTAACGCAATCATAGCTGGAGTTACTTCCATATAAGCTAATAAAAGTGCATCTGCTTGAAAAATTTGTCCAAAAAAAAAGTCTATAGATTGTATAAAATGTATCAGTTTGGGTTTAAATTGTCATGGCAACACTGACGTCTTTAAATGACAGAGCTAATATTTGTGGAATGTTGTATCATAATGTATTTCAGGAAGCTGCAAAAAAGAATAATCTATTATTTTAGAATACAAACCTGAGTGACATAAGAATACATCTCATCACATTTAAATTTATTCAGCATTTAGCACCTATTCTGAACAACAAAATCACCTCAGAAAAGTTATTCTGATCACAAATACTATTTGCTTAAGACAAACAAAGGCAGAATTTTATCATGTAAAACCTTATTACAATTCCAGTCTCCCTGTGAACACAGACATTTAAATTTGTAGGTTTAATTCATCATATAATTCAGTGAATAGGCATTTTCAAAACCTATCACCACACTGAATTAAAGAATATTTTAATCACATAATATCAAAGGATTTTAAGACATCAAACAGAGCTCTTTTAAGGCCTGTGTCACTGACAAGAATGCTACCATGCTGGTGAGCAAGGTAGCTCAGGATTACCTTTGAGCAGCAGAAGTCAAGCAAAAAACAGATGACAGAGGACTGCTCAGTGTCTAGGGACCAACCTCCTTTTTGTTCCTGCTGTATGAAATGAAAACTATAGATTTTCCTATAAGTAGTTATTAGGATGGATAAAATTTTATATAAATTTAATGGCATAAAATGTAAACTAAACAAAAATACCTTCAGTCATAGAATTCTACTTTTAAAATTCTTATTAGCATTTCACTTTACAGTTATTCCTGGTCATAATTTTTATGTCTAGGAAAGACTGTCCTGAACAAGTCTTCAATTGCAACGTATCTGGTAATTTTAACATAATTCTGGCAGAATCCTAAATGCTTATGCAGTAATTTAATATGGGCTACATTTACACAGTTCTTACTCTTCCCAGGTTTTCTTCCCTAATGCAGCTGTCACATGCAGAAACAGCTTTTTTGTGTCCACACAATATACACAGAAGGGTATTTAGTGAATTGAATTGAAATACAGCAGAACAAGGTGTTGAAAGTTATTTCTCTTGGGTTATCGCAATAACTTTACAATAAACCATGCACATGGTCTTTAAGTAAATGTAAAAAGCAACAGGGCACCAGAGCTTTGCTGGCTTTATCATGTCTATTAAATATTGTGCTAAAATTGCTTCACCATGTGAAGAAGAAGAAGAAAAAGGTTCATTACATAATAGTAGCAGCGGCAGCAATATTTTGCATTTTTCACTTTAGCTTCTAAGGCTTTTTCAAGACTATTATTTTGGTTTATGATGATGGAAATGCAAAAATGTGAACAGGTAGATTTGCACAGCAAGCAAAAATGATTAGGCTGAAAGTAATTTTCCATTTTACAGACTTTTAGAGAAGCAAGGAAAGGCAACATGCAAATTTCCTTTTTGCAAACCTATAATACCAGAATACCACTCGGCTAAATCCATAAAGGAAGGTCAGCATTACTTATAAAGCATTTAATTTTTCAATGCTGAATTCCCCTTAGGAATTACTGCACATACTTTAAAATAAAATTCGTTTCTGGCCAAAATTAAAATATCCTGATGAACAACTCAAATTAATTGTTCTCTCTTTCTTGAAGTAAAATATAAAAAGGAAAAAAAATGCTTTAGTAGAATTCATACATACAAATACAAGGTAATTTCTCTTGAGGTTATGTTCCAGGAATCAGTCTCTAAACACCCACAAGCATCTACTGACATGAGTGAAAGGATTACATAAGTCTTAACAGCATGAATTTGGGAAAATTGAAGCACTTACAACAGTCAAAGGCTAAAGAAACTACAAACAGGGTACTTAAAGCTATCAGTAGTGAAAGTCTAAGACTGCACACATATTTTGTACTCTAGAAATGTCAGAAAAAAACAGTTTTCAAATGTTTTATTGACTTCTTTATATCCTTAAGATATGCTTCTACAACAATGAGAACCAAAACCCCTTTCAGAGGTGAAGAAAATAAAAAGTAGAAATAGTGATTTAAATGAGTGTTTTTTTCATTGAGACACAACAGCAAAACATGAACAAATCAAACTCTAGGCCTGCTTTTTCTCCATATATCAAAAAGATTAGTGTTGGGTTTTAAAAAAGTTTTTTTTCCACCACTGTAAATTAAAGATTTGGGCCTTTTTCATGGTGTTCATAAATTTGACATAATAGCATGCAAGGGGCAGCTGTGGGAAAGGCAGCATTTCAAACCTCTGGGGTAAGTGACAGCCACATCAGCCACCTTCCAAAAGAGACTGAAGGGGAACAGGAGGCAAAAGCCTCAAGCACAGCAGGGTTGTCTTAGAACCATGACTACAAAAATAAGAATGGACAAGAGGGCAATGATAAGTCAGAATCTAAATTTAGAACAAAGACTCAACAGGTAAATAGCAAGGAGACAGCAAAATCCCTCCATCTTATCTCACTGAGCTCTTGAAGAAAGGAGAGGTGGGAAAAGGATTTAATAAGTACAAGTATGGGTTAAACACTGCAGATGTTTATTCTGTCAATCTGAGTGGGAGTTTGGCATGAGATAACATACAGACCTTCACCTGCCAATGGGATTAGACAGAGGTTTCATGAAGAGAGACTTTGGGTCTACACACTAATATCTCTTCCAAGTCCCATTCAAGAAAGTAAATCCTTTCATGAATTATACCCTTCTATTTCAACATCCCCATCTCTCTACAAAACTGCAATTATGTTATTATCTTCAGTAACAACTAGCCTGTATTTCATTTGAAACCTTGTTAAAGTAAAGTAGCACAGATCTGGAGCAGAGCACTCAGCTGTGTAAAAGCCAGAAAACATGCTTGTCTGAGCTCTCATTCTGTTCCCATCTGTGAGAGCAGCGCCTATTTCCTCCATCCTCAGCAGCCGTGGGGCTGCAAGTTTCTTTTGGGCATAGTCTGGGAAAGTGATAGAAGCCCTGGGAAAATCTCTGAAGGAAATAATAGTTCCCTAGGCAATTCACAGTGGTTAGATAAATGAAATTATTGAACAGAATTTAAGAGACACAATCTCCCTTCTCCCATCCAAGGCAGGACATCATTTGTAGACTTGCAGCAGTTTCCTCCCACCACTCCTCTGCAACACAACAGATTAATTTTTGTGGATAATTTTTTTCATTTCTCAAACGAAGGCAGAAAGATAAAGTAATTTGTATGTGTCAAATTTGTGTACTATGTTATGAAAATAAAACTGGCAAAAGAGGTTTGTTTGCTAGACTTCCTGCTGGAATAAAACACCTTGCTGAAACTACTGAGGAGAAATGCAAGAATTTTGAAGACTAACTTATTGCGCCCCAGATCATAATGCAGATACTCCATGTAGTATAGGCTGATAAAGGACATAAATAATCATCTAGAATATCTGAGATCACACTCAAATTTTTCAGACTGCTGCCAACACTTCAGTGGTTAACACTGATTTTGTACTGTGAATAAGAATGCTTTCTATAGACATAGAAAGACATGGAAACCTCAGAGAGGCCTAGGAGCCAGTTTCTTAACCTAAGATCAAGGAACAAACATCATCTGGGGAAGACCATCACATTTTGTGGTGACAGGACCTGCGAATCACCTGCACAGAAACTACCAAAAGCATTTCAGATCTAAATGGAGAAGAAAAATTGGCATCTGAGATGCTTCTTTTTAAGAAAGCTAAACAAAAATACCTTCAAAACCTAAATGTGACACTGCATAGGACTGAAAGACTACAGTACCATGAATTAAAATATGGACATTGCAACAGTAATGGCTTTGACAAGATATCTACTTTGAGCATATGCTCCAATACACTTAGCCAGTAAATAAATATTATGGCTGAATCTTAAAAGGTCAGTCAAGAAACTTGTTCTAATAAAACAATGTGATACAGTACATCTTTGCCTAGTAACAAAAAAGAAACACATTACTTAGCATCTGATCCAAAGCTCATTGAAGTTAGCAGGAATTCAGAGCCTTCCAAAACTACAATGAAGTATTTGCCTAGGCTAGGAAACACAATACATTCTTGTAACATTATTAATAAATTCTATCCTTCAAAAAACCAAACAAAAACAAAACAAGAAAAGAAAAACAAAAATTAAACAAAAAAAAAGCTGTTAGAATGAAACAGTTGCTTTCTAGTGTGACCATTTCATGTTGCAAATTCAATCTCCAGCAATGGAGAAGACGATGGGGGAAAGCTGGTAGAATTGACTCTTCTGCTACACATTTGCAGGTCTCAGCATTTACTGTGGAGATCCTGAGCCAAAACCTATCTAGATCTCCCTATTCAATATTTAACAATGAAACTGTATTTCACTAAGTTGCTATATTTTTTTTCTCCAACTCACAATCAAGGCCTCCATTGCATTTCATGCTCTACAACACAAGTTCTACAATTACGTTCTTCACTGAAAAATAATCTCAAACCACTCCTTCATGTTATCTGTTCTGTGTCTACATCCCATATGAGAAACAAAAATAGTTGTATTCTATTGAACTTTTATGCTAATTGTTCTAGTCTAGAAGCTGCCTTCCCTTACCCATCCACCCATTCCCCCCAAGCTGAAGAAATTCTGTTTACTTAGGTTTTCTTCAAATGGCCACTGCTCTGTGCTCCTGAATACAGGGTACGCTTTAGCAGTTTGGGCAGCATTCAAGATATGGGTGTATGATGTGTTCACTACATGCTTTAAAATGCTAAATACTCCCTTTTCATAACCTCCAAAATTCTGATTGTCTTTTTAATCACACCAGCACTGAGACAGTGTTTGCAGACTCACAACTACTCTCAAATCAGGCATCAACAGCCTCTTGTATACATACAGTCACGGCCTCACTCAGCTTCAACATTATCAACATTTTGCCTTCATCAACCCTGTCTGTCATCTGAATTCACTGCCTCAATGCCTGTGATAGGATCTCTTCCTTTTTACTTGAGAGTTCTATGGAATAATCTCCTGTGTCTGAACTAGACATTTTAATTCCTTTTATACCCATAATGCCTTTCAGAGACCATTTAAAATAGGACAGGTGACTCACATCACTAAAATATGCACGTCTCTCCAGTAGCTCTGTAGAGTGAATATTAAGAATCAGTTCAGATGTTTCACAATGTTAGAAAATTCCTCGCTTTGTACTTGGTAATTGTACAATTTACAATGGCCCCTATTTTTGACAGTCCTGCATAATTCTGTAGCCATAAAAAAATCTCATCTTCCTCCAGGCCTTCCCTTTACTCAGGCCTCACATCCTCCCTGATACTTCTAATAATAACATGCTTAATTAAAAAGTCATACACACAGCACCTTACCTTTGATGCCATACGCATGAACAGTGAGTTTTGATCCTCTGCTGTTCTCATCTTCTCATTTTTGACCAAATCCTTCAGGTTCATACTATCATCATCCTGAAAATACCTTACTCTCTCTTTATCTACATGAGTAGGCATCTGGAAGCAAATGTATTAAAAATAAATATTAACCTAATCAGAAAAGATCAGCTACACAATTCAGACCCTAAAAATTTCAACAAGTTTAAAGACTCATGAATCAAGGTATGCAGATCTGAAACACTGGGGCTAACAGCTCCATTTTATCTAAGGAGAAAAACATCTTTCCCTTTCTTCAATTGCATCAGTATGTCTAAATAAAAATATAGCCTCTTCCCAACGTCACTATATCCTTAACATCCTTAAGGTATCAGAGCTACAACATTAACACTCAGGAAAGATAGACAGTACTTCACTGAAACAGTTAATTAGCTCATAAAAATGAAATATCCTAAAAATTAATTTTCATTATTGACAACTCTAAAGCTTTTGTAAAGTCACAGATTACTAAAACACAATAATCACAGACAGTACTGAAAACTTGTGTGAATGGTATCTCTGGGAAATGTCGCCACCTTAGAGTGCACAAAGGAACAGAGATGTCCCTTAGGACAGGATTAAACTAAATTCCAAAGGAGTACAGGGAATGGTCATTAACATAAAGCAGGACAGCAATTTCCACAATGGAAACAACAGGATGATGACAACAAATTCCTCACCCTCTTCTGTCTTTCACTTCTCCACATCAGTGTTGCAAACTGATCTGTCCTACTAATCAAGAATGCTCGCTAGAATTATGAGGTAGTGTCACATCGTCTTATTTCAAAAAGATCAAAGTGCTACTGTATTTACTGTTGGAAGCAATTATCCTGAGAATAAAACATTGCTCCAGCTTCCAAGTTTCTTATTGTTCCCCAAAGCACTTTGTTACGAAGATTAGGTCATAATTATTATTGTCATCAGTAGCCGTAATTTTTGTTAGAACTAAAGTAAAATTAGCCCCTGAGACCTGAGTACCTCAGCAAAAATCTTTCTTAATTTGGAAATATTCAGCTCTGCTAATCTTTGTTATTTATATAACTTTATGTAATATAGACTAAAGAGACTGTGATAACTTTTCCCTGAACGTGAATTTAAATAAGCCCGAAAGTGATCCCTTGGGAAATGCAACCTGAAAATAAACTGAATATATGCTTAATAAATATGTACTTTAATACTTAATTACAATCATCTTCTGTGACAGTGGTCACAGGGGTTTTCAGGTGAAGGGAGAGATGAGAATGTTGACTCCATGTTCAGAAGGCTTGATTTATTTTATGATATATATATATATTACATTATAACTACACTAGAAAGAAAGAGAAGGAAAAGTTTCCTCAGAAGCTAGCTAAGTTAAGAACAGACAAGAAAAGAATGATAACAAAAGGCAGCTCTCTCGGACGCTGTCTGAGATAGCTCAGTCCTTGACTGGCCATTAATTAGAAACATCCAAGATGGGCCAATCACAGGTGGACCTGTTGTATTCCACAGCAGCAGATAATCATTGTTTACATTTTGTTGCTGAAACTGCAGCTTCTCAGAAGGAAAAACCCTAAGAAAGGATTTTTCATAAAAGATGTCTGCAACAATCTTCCAAAAGGAACTTTTTAACTACCTACTGACATTCTAATAAGATACTCATTAATTATGGCAATATAAAAGTAAAACCCCAAAATCAGTCAAGAGGTGCAGTTCAGTACTCAGATTTGTAAAACTTACCATCTGCTGCTTTCTTCGTCCTCCTTTGGGCTCCAGTGGCTCTGTTGCTCCCATCACAGGCCATGCCCTTCCACTTCCATCTGTTCTCACAAGGACCACTTCTTCATCTTCTCGACGGCTTGAAGCCTGTGTCAGGTTTTAAGACATATTTTAAAACAGATGGTACAGACAAGCCAAAAGAAATACCTAATCCACATGAAATAAGTGTTTAAAATCCTAAAGATTAAGCAACAGATTCTTTACATTTTGTGTGTTCAGTATAATTCAAAGTAGATAGTTTCACCTTAGTGAGGTATTCTTTTCACATTCAAAAAGAGAAAAAAGTATTAAAAATATATTCAATTAATTAAATGCAGAGCTTTTTTTTCCCAAAAGAACCAAGTTTGTATTCTTGCTTTTTTCACATAAAGCTTTATCTCATACAGACAGACACACAATGCTTCTGAAAGAGTTAAAGAGATAATACTGAATTAATAAACACCACCATCATTATAATGCTGCATTCCTGAAAACCATCTAAAAACCTACAGCTCATTACCACTTCTTTTACCACTCTAGATTGGGAGTGTGGAGAACAAACACACTCACCTCTGTTCCCCAAAAAGTTATAGAACTTGTCTTCATGGAAGGTTCTTTATAGGGCCCCCACTTGATAGGGGGCCCCTATATAGAGATAGATATGTCCTCTATATAGGGGATAGATATATATACAAACACAGAGAGGGGGAAAAAAGGCAGAAATTCTTCACCAAAAAGTAAGTATTTTGCTTTCTAAAATATTAAGAATAATTTTTTAAGTCATTAAAAAGCCTGCAAACTTCCTGATTATACTCCAAGGATGTTTAGGTAAATCAGTTGATTAAATTAGAGCACATAATGGGGCCACTACTTAATCAGATGGTATTAGGACAGCCTTTGTCAAATCTTATAAACAACTTCATTAATCTCCATTTCAAGCTATTTTTTACCAAACTGTTTTCCACCTGCCATCCTTGCCTAAGGAAAGCTTGTCCCAGAAACCCAAATAAAGTCTGGAAAATCTGTAGATACTGAAGTATACTTCAACAGCTTAATTACATTTTTCCAAGGGAAGTCATATGAAGGTAGAAGTTATGGACCAAAAAGCTGCCTGGGTAAGCCAGACCTCTCTCTTCTGTAACACCAAAGGCAAATCTCATTTTGCAAAGCAAGCCAGGATGTCTAGCACAACTTTGGCTCCAATAACAATACTGACATTTTCAGAGAATACAACATGACTTATTTCCAGCATCAGCCAGATACATGTTATTTGTGTGTAATCTGTACCTCAAGTATTCCTTTTTCACAATGTAAGGGCTATTGATCCTATTGGTAGGGGGAGAAAGGGTGGTTCATTCCAATGGGAGAAAAAGGATGTGTGCATTCACTTCACAAATGTCATGAGATAAAAAGGTCACAGCTGACTGAGACACAAACAGCCAGACTGGGGGGACCAGGTTTTACCATGCCATAAAACCTTATTCACAGCAGATACAGAAAGCAAAGATGAAATTAACATCAATAAGAATGTATCACAGCAAACTTCTTCAATGCCACAATTCCTTTAAAACTTGGGTGACTTTACAAGTCTGGAGGTTGAACACATAACCACAGATATTGCAGTGAAATCTCAAAAATCCAGAGCATTGCTAATTAGTCTGAAATTGCACAGACCTTTGTAGAGGAAAAACTCACCCTATCCACATGGCCAAGCAGGGATACAGAGCTCTCCCAAGAGGACTAATCAAATCCACATAGCAGACCCTTTACAGTTCTCAGTGAATAATCTACCAAGCAGCCACTTCTGAAGGGTCCTGCTCATGTGAAATCCTCTGCCAGGAGCATCTTTCCAGTCATGTCATTCAACTCCTTTCACCTGCTGCCCACATAGTGTCTCCAAAAAGATGCTAACTTCAGGTCTCTCCTTCCCCACACCTTTGTTTTACTGAGACAAGGAAAGGATGAACTTTTCCATTCCCAGGCTCTAAACTTTAACCTCACTGTATACATGACTTTTAAAATACACAAATCACTAAAACCAACAGTCATTACAACAGCAGTACTTCAACAACTGCAAAGAACAGTAAATACCAGATTCTTATACCAACTTACAAACATTTAACTCCTTTTAAAGACAGCCATCCCCAAATTGCTCTTCACTAAAATTTTTAATACAGACATTTCAAAAAGGATGTCATTGATGTGCAGGCTGTTATTTTCCCAAAAGTTGATGGAATTCACAAGGTGTTCTTTGTGTCAGACTTTCTTTGTCTTTTGAAGAAGGGCTCTAAAATATTAGATCCAAGCAACATTTGCACTTTCTCTTTTCTTCCCATTTCTATATGCTTACACACTAACATACAAGCAGCAGCAGAGAACCTGGAATGAGTTAGGACAGGGACAGGGAATAGAGAGGGGAGCAATAGATATAATACATACTGAATTCTTTGGGTCACAACCCTACAGCTGGCAAGGTTTTGTCTGCTTTACGAGGCTTTGAGGTTTTTTCTCCCTGATTTCCAAGAGTCCTGAGTCCTCACACAAAGCATGTAATACTGACTATAATGGATTTAGATTCAATATTCCAGAGGGGGAAAAAAAGGCAAAAAATTATAGTAATTTTTACCTTTAGAATACAAAGTACAAAGAAATCAAAGTGGTCCTTCAAAGAGAGATTAAAGGAAGCAGATAAAAGGATAAAATAATTATGGACAGCATGAAGACCAATGTGAAGTCATGTTAGAGACTAACAGCAAATGCATATTAGGAATCAAAATGAATTCAATGGATGCAAGCCAAACATGATTATTCAGAAGATTAAAGATGTTATTAGAGGTAAAAACATCCTTCAAAACTCAAAACCCTATCTAAACAGAACTGACTTAAAAATAAAGCATAACAGAAAGTTAATTGTATTCACACAAAAAAATGGATTTTTAGTAGAATCTTAGTAACAATAATTAGTAAAGCTATTTCTAAACACATCAGAAACAAAAGGCTTTCTGGTAGAAAAAGATGCTCAAGTGTTACAGCATTATCAGAAGAAAACATTTGAATAATATATTAATTAATTGTATTTTATTCAACAGCACTTTTTGAAATGAAAAAGAAAAAAATCCCTAGAACTTCAGAAATCATCTTTAAATTGAATTATCAGTAAAAGGAGTTTTTTTAGTAAGCTGCCATGAAGTAATGATTTTCACTAGAGCTTCCAAAAAAGAATTCTAACATACAATGCCCACATCATTCAGCATATACTATATCCCAGGTCTTAGTACAAAAATAATAGAAAGCACCCAATATAATAAAAAGCTTTAAAATGTGCCAAAGGCTGATCCTGGGAATTCTGGGGCAATGTATCCAACATTTGTAATGGACAAGTTCACACAAACAAAATAAAAACTAGACTTCCTCTACACTTGAACAATTACACCATACTGAGAAAGAGCCTTTGCAGGAACAATCCACCTCTCACAGAAGTAACAGACTTTTTCAAAGGAGTGTGGATATCAATCTAACTGCAAGAGTTACTTAATGTTCTCTTTTTATCTATTGATATTTTCTTTACACCTGTATTCCCATGACTATATGACATAGTATATAGTATATGGCAACACAATGTGGCCACTGTGACATAATAAATACTCATTAATAATTATGATCAGATAAATAATATTTCTGTTAAGTGCAACAATAAGTTTAAAACATATATTCAAGCATTTTTAATATACCTATTCTTAAATGTTAAAATTGAAACTGGAGAAGAGGCTCAGTCACTATCCCTAAATCTTGTGATGACTGCTAAACAAACAATATAGTTTACAGTCTGAAATGAATAAAAATAGGGTCTATTTCCTGAGTGAGACAGGAATTGTTTGTTGCTATTAATTAAGGAACATGACTTTTTACTTCAGGCCAATTAAATATGCAAAGTACACAGTTGTTCTCACGAAATGTACAAACTGCTACACCGCAATTAAGACTCAACTGAACAAAACAAGCAGACAAGTCTGGTTTTGAAAGATGAAAGATTTGAATTAAATACATAAATAAATAGGGTACCCGGTACCCATCTCAATAAGAATTTTGAACTCTCCAGATATTATTCCTATTCCATAATCCAGCAGGAGGAAGTGGAAATCCTCTGCCACATAAGGTGCACAGCTTAATTTGAGGAGCAAATGAAGTAGTGAGGTGAACAAATGAAGTAGTCAGGCCAAGCATCTGAGACAAGATCCACTCAGTTTTCAATGCTAATAGCTATAGGGAATAAAATATATTTTAATAGTCAGTGCATTGTACGGTAGGGAACAAATAAAGTTAAAAAAAATATTTTTAATTACTGAGCCAACAAAAAGCTGGATGCTGCATGATTTGAAAGCTTTCTGCACATGTTTACTGAGAGCTACATTCAAGTGGTACAAGCACAGAATAATAAAGGAATAACAAAGGAACTAGCCTCTACAACCAAATGCTAGCTTTGTTAAATCAGATGCTGCATTAAGCATGCCACCTGTTTCCTTTCCCCTGCAATCTCTGGTGAATGGAAATGCTTTGGATATTGTCTTATTCCTCTACTGGAAAAGCCTGTCCTCATGTCATAGTATCAGTAAGTGTCCAAAATACATCTAGTACTTCTCAGAGTGCTGGACTCAGCTATTTCTCCCATCCACTATCTTCTGTTCACTTCCACTACTCCTCCTCCTCCCATTCCAGTTACCCTTGTCTTAGGCTCTCAGTTTGCAGTCACACATAACCACCAGTTACCACAAGGATGGGTAAATCCCATGTAGGAAGAGCGTCTGCCTCCTTCAGTGCTGGCTAGTCCTAAGGGGACTATGTCTCATATTTAGGACTCATTTTATTCCCAACCTGGAGTCCCCAAGTAACAGGCTTCAAAGCATCTAAGCTCCCCTTCACACTCTAACATTTGCTGTGAATAGTGGCATTGTAGCCTTCAATGTAATGCTTATAAAAATCAGTAGTTTAACCATTCTCTATGGCAAGACTAAGGTTTGCATCTCACAGGAGGATGAAATTAAAAATGGTCAGAGGCCTATAACAGCAGTCCACTGCATACATGTTGTATCTTTGATCTGGGTTTCTTA